GATGAGAGCAGACATACGACCGGAGCAGTAAAAAGGCTGAGGTGGCTGAGAGCAGACATACGACTGGAACGGTAAAAAGGCTTTGGTGTGGACATACGACCGCAAAGTGTTAATATCATTTATTTTCATTTGGCTTAAGTTTTGGAAAACATCTGTTAAAAAGAAATTAATCTTAGCTTGAATAAAGTATTGTTCTGATAAGGATATGTATGAAATCAAAACAAAAATTGTTTCTCAAAAGAAAAGGTTGCAGATGAATTAGTTTGCGTATTCTAGAGATGATGCAAATATGAACTGGAAAAAAATGTTCTTGGCATGTATGTATAATGTCTAATGTCCTTCCTTGAATTGCAAATTCATCGGCAAATCTGAATTCCAATAATTCAAAACATACACAATTCGTTTAGAAATCTTTGAAAACTATATTTATATTAATGCTATTCGTATTTTACTGCATATATATAAAACATTTTTAAACATTATTCTTTCATTCTTTTATCATTAAATTGAAGTGTTTATTTCTGTATATTCTAAATTTGCATGATCTTTGATTTTATTAAACGATACAAAAAATTGAACTGCAAACATTAAATAATATTAAATTCAATTATAAAATATAATTCCAAAGTCAACAAAATATAATTCCAAAGTGCCCAAGGCCCTAGATATGCATGTATATGTGTGCATATTATGCTGTTGTTGTTGCAGCTGCATATGCTCATTTGTCTGAGGCAGTCAGCCCAAGCCCACAAAATTCCTCATGGTAAAGAGCGCAAGATTACACCTGTTATGTAAATGAGTGTATTCAACCTCTACCTTTCTTTTGTCTTTCGTAACCTATCTTGCTAATTTTCTCACTTTTCATTCGTTTCATTATTCATACAAATTTCACAATTTGCTCATTATTTATTTATTGATCATTTCTTTTGAAATTAAACCCTACCTTTTAATTTTATATTTTATTTGATTTTAGTAATTCACTGTTTTATTTATTGCCTGTATAATCATTTTCAGTCACTCTTACTGATGGCTTATAGGACTACAACACCTTTAGTTTATAAATTAAGCTCCGGTTTATTAAATATTAATGTACATAATTTTGACCTCTAAAGGCTTGTATGCTTTTTTGGATTATCCCAGCTAAAATTAGTCACACAGAAGCTGGTTAATGAGAAACCTATTGTAACAGATTTTTACATTAATCCTTTCGAATTTTAGTTCAGGAAATAAATATAATAAAAATATTTAAAAAATAGTTTTGAAAAAAATTAATTTTACTTTATTTTGTTCAATATTTATTTGCTAAATATTTGTACTAGTTACAACAGTCTTTTTCACAAGCATATTACTCTCCCCGGATAGTATAATCATTAATTTTTTAAAAATTAAATTTAATCAATCTTAGCTGCAAAATCACTAGATTTTTACATTGAAAAATCCTAAATTTTAAAAATTTTGTCATGAGCTAATTTGGCGACTCTAATGGTGTACTTGCAGCAAGTTTCTCACTGGCCTTAACCTTGTTTCATATCTGGCTGTGATTATTAATTTCCTTTTCATTATTTATTTATTTAATGGATAACTTAAATGGGCAGTAATGCATGGCATTTTGAGGCTCAAGCAAGGCATCATATTTGGCAGATAAAATAAAAAATTCCAAATTTCTCATCTCAGTTGTTATTTGGCATGATGTTTTTATTCATATAAATCACACGAGTAAAATACAGTCAAAAGTCGTTAATCCGGCCTCGTCGGGACTTTGGCGATTCCGGATTATAGATCATCAGTTTAAATCTCGTAAGATAGCATGCAGAAATTCTAAAATTAAAAATATGGAAACCGTAATTTATGAAATAAAGAACAATTATGATCTAAAGGGTATCAAAATTTACAAAAAAAAAAAAAAAAAAAAAAAAAAAAAAAAAAGCTTAATATTCATTTGTTTACTTTATTAAACATTTCTTTCAATGTAAGTTGTTTAAGTTGCTTCATTTTATGTGATAATACTTTCTCTATACAGACATAATTTCTTGTTCAGTTACAAAGTTCCGCTGTTCAAGTCCCTTTAATTGCTGTGCCGAGAATACCGACTAACTTGTCAATTGAAATTTTTTCGTTTTCACTAACCTCTCGGTCACATTCTTCATGTCTTTATCCATTTTTTGGAGCAATTCCACTTTTTGTTTGTTGGACATCGAAACATACTTTCGTTTTGTAGATCCTTTGGAAGTTCCAGCATCGGAAATTCTATTTGACATAATCGAAATTTCAAGTTTACTTTTATAAAATTGCTCTTACAGACTGCAAAAAATAATAAGCGGGATCCAATTCGAAGATTAAGGAAAAATGCAATCATTAACATTAACTGAAATAAATAATTAGATAATTTTAGCTTACACCGTCCGTTTTACATTAAACGTGCAGGCGAAAACGTATTCTGCACTTGCGCACACGCATATGCGCCGTAGTCACAGTCTTACGTGCACGCGTAAAACGCCTGTGCGCATGCGCAGAAAGTTTTTAGCTTTGAGGTCTGGATTATAGATCATTCCGGATTATGGGTGTCCGAATTAACGACTTTTGACTGTACTGCAAAGTACACAGACGAATATGCAGTTCAATGCTCTCAAAGTTCTGCAGAATGCAAAAACATATTTAGAAAGTTGTAGAAGTGAAACCAATTACATAAATTTCATCTCAGAATCAAAAGAAATGGCGAGAAATGTTAGAAATCTTATCTTAGCCGAGTCCATCGTACCCGAAGGCGACATAGGTTGTTTGGGTACGAAACTCCAGATGAAAACATACAAAGTGTTGAAGAGAAATTTAACCCGCAAGTACGCGCACTGGGTGTCTCATACCAGGGGGCATATTCTTTGTTCCCACATGGTGCAGCATCTAAGTTATGATAAAGAAATGCAAAGGTTGAGAAATATGTTAGAAACCATTTCGGCAGGTGATGAATCATTTAACGAAAAGGAGGAATAATTAATAGATGAAGAATACAACAGCAATCATAATTCATCAACAGACAGTGTAAATCACTGAATTAGGTAGTGAATTAGAAATACACTGAATTAGAATAAACAAATAATAAGAATTAAATAAAACACTGAATTAGATAGTGAATTAGAAAATGAATCAAATGTTGAAAATTATGTTGGTAAAAATGGCTTGATATGGAAGAAAAACAAATTCCAAACGAATGTTAGGACTAGTTCTAAAAATATTATCTTCAAATTTCCAGGAAATACAGGTTATTCAAAAGATGCATCAACACTGCTGGATTCCTGGTCTCTGTTCATCGACAAAGACATGACAGAAATGATAATTCAATGCACAAATATTTACAGTGATTCTATTCAGAAGCAGTCTGCACATGAGCATGATGCAAAGAAAATGGATGAATATGAAATCAAAGCACTTTTGGGACTTTTGTATATATGTGGTGTAAAAGATTTGTGGGCAACAGATCGAATGTGCAGAAACAAAAATTTCTATGCGGTGCAGGTGGGCGGCAAAGTAATCATATCCTGTAGACAGACAGAAAGCCACAACCGCAGGAATAAGAGAAGGACCCTAACTTTTTAAGGTTGTACGACTCTTAAAGATCTCATAAGATATTAGATGAAAATAAATTTTTTACAAACAGTTTAATCCTCCAATAAGAAATGGCTGTATTAGGATGTTGTAGTAAGGTGGCAAATATTTTTGCAAGGAAATCTGCTTGTTCATTGCTCCAAAGGCCAAAGTGGCCAGGCAATCACTGGAGAATGATTTATTCCCTTGAAAGTGGAGTTCTCAGGAATTCTTGACATTGCAAAATTCATTTTGATAAAGTTATTTGCTACAGTTATTTGCTAAAGCATCAGATGGATGACTTAAATATGAAAACACACACACAGAGAAGTTTTAGAAGATGCTGAATGACATCAAAACATTGGTTTCTACTATACTTTCCCAAAACAAGCAATAACGCCCCATCAATGAGCATCAAGATGTCGAGAATTTTACTGTCCTAAGGGCAGTGAGAAAGGTGCTAAGAATCCAACAAGCAATAAGAATGCATTTCAGAAATTTAGCTGTATTAACATTTTGTAAACAAATACCTAAACATCCACTTGATTACAAAAACATTACAGAAAAACATCTTCACTAAAGAATTTAATCACATTAACTAAACCTTCGTTGCTTAATATAGTTAATTAGTGGGCCTGGAAGGATGCAATTGGTCACTGGTATCAGAAGAAGAATTCACAAACTAGACTGCATTGCATTACTTAATTTAGGTGCAGCACACAAGTAGTATCCACCTATGCTCCAACACAATTGTGATCTGGAACAAACAAGAGGATTTTAGGAGAAAAACATTTTAAGTACCTCCAATTCCAAAATGACATTACAGTCAAACATCTGTGATGTGTCCAGGATTTGAACTTGGGCTTAATAATGTGTTGCAGTCAAGTTCTGGTAATGACTATTCTATCAAGTGGTTTCCTCTATTGGATATTTTTCGAGACAGAACTGATCTTTTAAACGCACCTCTCTAAGTAACCCCAGATTTATTGAAATTTAAATAATGCATTATCAGGGTTAGCAACAAGATGAACCAAGCAACAATGGCATTAGCACAGGCAAAACTTAAACACAAGATAAATATTTTGCCATATCAGAAAGGATGGCTACATCAAAGATTTACAGGCTTCTTTCAATACAATTAAGTAGGTTTACTTAAAGTTTTCCATTATCATATAACAGCAAACTGAATCCAGGAGAATAGTTGACCCATCATATATTATCTTCTAGTTTTTGTACTTCACATATAAAATTTAAAATCATTATTGCACATAATAATAAATATAAAGTAATACTATTATTCTTAAATATTCAATTATTTTTTAATATTTAAGAATAATAGTATTATTTTATATTTATGCTTATCCAATGCACGTATTAATAAAAACAAAAAGTTTTATTCATTTTTAAGACACTAATCTCACCTTTCCTGCTGTATGCTATATTTGAGAGATACAAGCCACAAGCAGGAACCAAAGCACTTTTTATCCATCCATTCGGATCAGGTTTTTTCAACATGAGCTCAACATCAGATAAGGATAGCAATCCAAACCCAGTTGATAATGCAGTACCAACTAATTTCCTAATCTGTTTTAAAAAAATAAATTATTTTACAAGTTATTTTTAAAAATTACCTTTTATTTAAAGTACTGAAAACCAGCACATAATTTAAAAAACACTTAGAGAAAAATAAATTTCAATTTTAGGAATCTCTCTAACTTCATAATACTCCATCTACATACATATATTTTAAACATGTGATTGAAGTATTTTTGATTAAATAGAGATTTTAGATTGTAGGATTTGTCAAGTGATATATTACTGAATATTGCAAGAAATGCAATTTCTATTAAATAAAAGTTTAAGCGGATAACAGGGTTCACACACAGAAATTAAGTATTTTTAAGTACCTTTAAGGATTGTTAATGAAAAAAATTAAGGACCTATGAGCAAATGCTAACTGAATAAATTCAATTAAAAGTATTATCTATGCCTGAATTTTACATTTGTAATACCATCCTAAAAATACAATAGATCTCTAAGTAGTATCCATTATTACTAAACATGAATTAATTAACATAATTATTAATAAGTTTGAGAATAAAACAAACTTTAAACAATTTATTAAGTAGCATTAAATATTTCACACTTATAACAGTTGGGCATATTTGAAAGAAGATAAGTGACATTTACGTTTTACTCACAGTTAGCTTTATGTTGATTTTTTTATGTCTCATTTTGTCACATACTTGGTCAGTCTGGAGATTTAGTAAGCAGCAGGTAGATTTTATGTCAAACGGAATAGGTTAAAATAAGAAGTAAGATCATAATCAGCATGATTCATAACCAAGAGACTGAATGTTGTCACTGCTGCTTGCTTGTTTAGAGAGAGACCTGCTGACTGGAACAACCTGAAAGGTCTGATGTAGGCAGGGTTGGCAAGTGTTGAAAGTTAGTCAGGCTCTTTTTGATGCAGTTAGTGTCATAGGTTTGTGTAGAGTTCCAGGGGTGGCAACCCAGTTAATATACTTTAAGGTTCCAATAAGCCATTAAAGCACCAGAGGTGATAAGTTATTTTGTATTATTTTAAGTCTCACTAGATGCAAAGAATAAGTTTTACTTGAATTTTTGTATTTTATCTTATGACCACAGTGGGTATTAATGAAAGGCAATAACTCGCTTTAATGTGTAGAGATAATTTTTAAGAGTAAGCAGTTAGTTATAAATAATTAAATTAGGTAGTTTGATAACCTTAGTCATTATAAACTTACATGGCCACTGTTAAAATCTATTTTTTAACAGTATTTGTTAAAAATATCCTATTAAAATCAAAATCTAATGAAATTTCACAGTTTAAGCATTCTCTTTAAGCATCTTTTCTAACAATTAGAGATTTGTCTTAATATGCAAATCGTTGCTCTTGCTACTTTCTGCGTGCTTTATCTCTTAACTTGTCAACCTTTCCATAATGTACCTATGAGGGTCTACTTGATCTGGTAAAAGTTTAATAGTCCAAAACCCCTGATAGACGCAAAGCATATTATCGCTATGTCAGAAAATAAATACAATATCCAACAAAGATTTAAATAAAAGGCTTATTTAAAAAGAACTTGGAACATAAAGGCATGTTCTGATGCTAACAAAATCAATTACAGCTCATGGTGATGTAATTAAACATGAACAGTGACATTCAAACTAAAAATGTGGAGTAGTGGTCAAAGATTATACAATGTAATTTTGATTTAATCTGGCTCAGTAATTCTATCTAAAGAACCTAAAGAAATAGAAATGGGAAATTTTAGTTAAGGCTGAAATCATAAACAATTGGGTAATTTGCATAATAATAATAACTGCACATATCTTTAAAGAATAATTTTCTTAATGAATTCAGTTTCTTTCTTCAATACATTTCCTTTTCATCTTGGAATTTTTGGATTTAATTAAGGATTTCTGTTATTTTAAAAAACACTAAATGCATTTAGAATGTATACAAAAAGCGGCTAATTTTATTTATTTAGTAATATGAACATTTAGAAGAAATATGATATATATATATGATAAAGGCCAGTTACAGAGCTGATGTGGCAGAATTTTTAGAATTTAGTGACACACTGAACAACAAAATCTAGAAATGGCAAACTTTTTGAATTTGAGCAGGCATTGGAAGCAGAATTTAGAATCAACAGAGATTGAATCAGGTGGTAAAATGCCTAGTGCCAGCTTTGTGTATGATGTATTAAGACATATTAGATTAATCATTTAAATTGTAAGTCTTCAATTTCTTTATTAATAAACAAATCCCTTTCTATAATGGCTGCACATGTGATAAGATTAGAAATATTTTTGATATTTTCCATGCTTGAGTCTAAATGAAAAGTAGAGAAAATAAAGGGAATATAAACATGTTAAAAGATTCTAGTATCAGAAGTAAAACATTAAAATATTATGTTTTTACTGTTCTTCCAGACGTTTTCCAAAATGTAAGAAATTCATTGCAAACTTTCTGTAAAATACATCCATTACATGTTGATACCATGTCAACATTTTTCATTTTTTCACATATTTCTTGAATCTTCTAGAGTCGTGGGTCTATCAATCTTGCTTTCAAATCCTTCTAAACCTTCCAAGCTGCAATGTCTAAAATCCCAAAGAAAAATTATCCCTACCAATTCTGTAACAGCAAAAAGCCAGAAATATTTGGGGGGAAAGAGGGGAAAAAGTGTAAAATTAATTTTATTTAGCATATTCTGAGACATTTACATGGGGAAAACGGTTAATATTCGGGGGTCTTACTATGAAAAAATTAAAAAGAAAACATTTTAAATTTTTTACATAGCTAATTTTGCTTTTGCTAACAGCTATTTCATAAATTCCGCTTTAGAGCATTATACCTTGCTTATTTTTCAGATTCAAATTATTGTATAATAAGTTGCCAAAATGAAATTTTATAATATGACAGCAAAAAAAAAAAAAAAAAAAGTTTTATTTTAATGTTATATTTTAAATATAATTTCAATATATTACTATTATTTTGATGTTATTTTTTTAAATATAATTTCAATATATTACCATTATTGTAATAAAATTTATCAATGTTACGAAGTTTAAAAAAAAATCGTCGAAAAATTCTCAATTCTCGGAATTAAAATTTTTCTATAGGAATTGATCTTAAAATCGCCAAAATGTTGATAAGTCGCCAAATTTAGAAACATATAATAAAAGAATTCACATCCCCAAAAGTGAAAAGTTGTTTAAAAGCTCTTTATTAGAAAAAATTAATTTTGAAATGCTTATGTTTCATTTCTTGTTTAGAAACTCGAGTATCCCATCATTTATATTTGAAATAGAAACAAATTATAATCCGTGAACCCATTCAAAAGATAACCATATATGTTAGTGAATTGCCCAAAATGTTCCTCCAAAATGCTAATTTCCACTCTAAATGGCAGTCATAAAAAACAGACAGAAATTTCTTATGATTAAAATTAAGGACCTTCTGCTGAGTTTGGCCAAAATTAAGGACTTAGGAGCCAAAAGTATTTCATGATATAGCCAAAAGTATTTCATAATATTTCTTGACTAGATGCATATATACATTTTTCCTTGCAAAGAAAATAAACAGATATAAACTTGAAAAATTACAGTTAGATCAAAGAATCACAGATAAGAAAGCAAACTCACTTTGGCGAACATGAGTTCCCACACTATAAGCAAGAGCCATTTTTTGCCATCTATTCTTCCACTAAACACATTAACTCACTTTGATCTCATATACACTACTCAAAAAAGGAAATTAAAACAAAAAAAGAAGACTGAAACCCTTACAGACAGAGAGTTTACACATGCAAATAACAGATAATTCATCAGATAAAACCATGAAAAAAATAATATTATATCACATTAAAAAATAAACATGATTCTCGCATTAAGTTTTTCTTATTTTTATTCACAGCATATCTCATACATAAACATATTAGACTGAAATATAATCCAAGGATAATTACTCAGGTAATCTTAGAAAAAGAATAAAGAATAAACTAACCTAATAAGCAAGAAATATCCATTATATTCAGAATTCTAAAGATTTGTTTACATAAACTGTTCTTGCAAGGTCTGCCAGAAAAAATATCAGAAGACTGCAAGTGCAAGTTCATCTGCTTGGCATGCTTCTTAAACTACTGAATAAATGAGGGATTAGTATGTCCCACATCACCTCAAAATATACTTGTGAACATTCTACAATCTATGGATCTTTAGAACATAACAGATCAGCCAATGCTCATAGTTTCCTTGGAAAATTCTCGTTTTTTTCATCTAATGTCCTAGTAAATCTCAAAATCTACGGCTTTTAATTGATTCTGATTTAGACTATTTATTTCATATGTTGTAATTGAGAAATCAGTAGTTTAAGGGAAACTGCTGAATGCTTAGCATCAAATGAAAAGGAATTGCTAGGAAGGAAATTTCGATAACAAGTTCTTAAAAAAAGTTAAGGCATTTATCACATTTTCATCTTTTAAAGAAACTCAAAATTGTGACTCAAGGACAGCTAATTCTTGAAGCAGTATGACAAAGGCTATTAAGGACTTACACAAAATAATGTCCACTTAATTGATATAATTAGTCAGCTGAAGAGAACCTGCATAATGCAGTGGATTTTAATTGAAGGTATGATACTGCTGAAGAACCAGCCTAAGATGGGAGACATTGCAATAATGATTAACATATGATTTTCTTGGTAATGGCAATGCCACGTTTAGATTTAAAATTAATGCCCACATGGGGCATTACTTAACCTTTATCTAAGAACTTAGCATTCTGAGCGAATAAAAGCCAACCCAGATAGCATTATTAAAATCCAAAAGCAAAAACTATTCCTGTACTGATCTTACTCTAGAAATTTATACCTCCTATACTCCATCAAGCTTCTGAATTAAAAGTTTTAGCTATAGGACATATAGTATCCTGCATGGCTGCATTATTATTAACACAGCATTTAAAATCAATCCGTCTATAATTTTTTTGTTTTGTTTTGTTCTGTCAACTTCAGAGGGGGAAAAAAAAAAAAAGAAACTAACAAGAATTTCACACCATTTTATGTAATTAATATGATTACTCATAAATAAAATTAAATAATTTTTGTTGGAATATTCATAAAAGAATGTCGCTGTGATGTACAAATTTTAAGCTTTATCATGGTGCTAAACGCTGTTTCTTGATTGGAGGAATCAAGCACCTTTTATTTTCTTTTTCTAATTTTCAGTTGGCTTTAACGAATATTAAATTATAAACAAATAAATATAGTGGTCTTTAAAATAATGCTAAAAACTTTCCTTTTGAGAGAAAAATAATACAATTATTTGAAAAACTGAACCAGTAGTTTTTTCTAATCATAACTCATGAATACCTCTGGAAAAGATTAAAATGAGCAACATGAGATAGTGCACACTGTAGGGAAATTATATTACTGAATATTAAAAACAGCATGTCAGTAAATTTCTGTTTTAAATTATACTTTAACTACTAGTTATTATAAGTTAAATTACTGGTTGTTATATTGCAAGCCATATTTCAGAAGCGAAAAACTGTCTGGCCATACTCAATTTTTGCCTGCACTGAGAAACTAAATTATTATGAATCTTTTTGCCACATTTGCAGTGGAATGAAATTGAACAAAATAGGCAGTCACCACTCTCTGAAGTTAAAGGCAATAAGCAACTGAATAACTGTACAAAACACATATCTTACAAAAAAAGTTCTATATTTTCAAATTTTAATTACATATCACTCAGAAAATTTTATCAATTTAAAATGTAAAAAATATTTACCTGATGATATAAGAAAGATCTTGATTTTATACAGAAAACTCCCACATAGAAATATTAGAATACTGAATGTCTTCTAATAGTTTTTTATTTGATGATTCATAAAATTTACATTCATCAATTATTCTATTAGTATTTCTCCAAGGATCTCGCTGAGTGTATTTGGTAAATGTAGTAAAATTGTGTGCTCCACAAAACATATTTGCTACCTCTTGAACAACATTTGTATTCAATTCAGATCTAAAAAGAAAATAAAAGCTACAAGAATACTGATATAAATGATATAAAGCATATAAAAGTCGTAATTTTAGAAATTTGTTCTCTATAGTAATAATGTTGTTGCACAAATAATTCTCATTTATATTCCAGCTGAAATTACAGAAAAAATGAAACATTTTAAAAATTTCATAAGTCCAGATAGTAAAAATGCCCTTCTTAAATCATTCTTGTCTTACATGTGTAAACTCACTAAATTCACTGCCACAAACAGCCTTAGACAGCCATGGCCAGCAGTGCCCTGTTATATGCTTTCTAGACTGCAGGCCCTGGGTGCATAAGCATATGCCCCGGACAGGTGGTCAGCTTGTTGCAGGACCCTCTGTGTTTAGTCCACAAGCGAACTTTGTACTCATTTTATTAACCCACTCATGGGATGAAAGGTTGAGCCGACCTTGCTCAGCTCGGAGATTGAACCCTGGACCTGTGGTACTGCTGCTCAATGCGCTAGCTTACATATGTAGCTTCTAATTTTAAAAATTCCATTTAAATGACCTTCTTAAACCATTCTGTCTCATTAAAAAATAATCAGATTTTATTTACTCAGATTATTATCTCTCACTCTTGCTTTAGCTGTGAGAGACTGCATTATATTATGTTCCATTTGACTAATAAAGTAAAGCTCAGAAATGATAATTTTGACAGGTGAAAGCTAAAATAGAAGCTGTATTGATTAAAAATGACCACTGGGATTGTGACCAGTAAAAAAAATGAAACTCACCGAAGGAAGCAAAAACTAATCCTAGCAAACTGTATCATATCAAGCACTGTGTAACATCAAATGCTGTGTGGAATAAACTCATAGCCGTGTGTGAATCGAAGGGACCTGCAAAGAAGGCTACCCTATTAAAACAGCTTTTGATTAGAAAAATGCCTGAAAGTGAAACAATGTCTGAACATTTGAACAGCTTCTTTGAAATAATCGATAAGCCTTAAAGAAATGGAAATTGACACAGCTGATGATTTATTATAGATTCTTCTGCTCTAGAGTGTTTGAGAAAACTTTGAAAATCAGTAGCATAGTGAAGAAGGGCAAGGGGTATACCGAATAAATACGCTGGTTGCAGAGGGGCACCACATGGTCCCCAAGACAAAAAGAATTTGCAGATAATTTCCATTTTTATTTTAATTGATTTCTGAGAAATATATTTTCAATTAATAATTATTAAAATATATTTGTTTATTTCCTTTCTTAATTTGTCTGATTAAATATCTTATAAATAATGTTTGCAGTAAATCAATCAAATATCTCCATATACAAAATGTTCTTTCTAATTTTTCTAAACAATTTATTTTTCTAAAATAGCTATATATTTTAATTTTTTTATACGAAATGCACATACAGCTCACACTCATTATTTTAAAATGACAACAAACAATACACAATAGTCTTTCACTATATTATAAGCCCTTTGATCTTGGACTATTATAAATTTGGCGACTGAAAGATATCCTTGTTATGCATTTTATTTAATATCTCCTCAATGATTCTATTATTCAGTGAACAATGCAGAAGTGAAATTGTTAACAGAGTCCAATAAAATAATTGAAGAGAGAGAGAAAATATTGAAATTTTAATACTATATTGTTTGCAACTAGAAGCTTTCCTTTTTTATATTTTATTTACTGCTGCTGGGTTGTTCAAAAGTAATATCTTATTTAATATACAGTCGAAAGTCGTTAATTCGGACACCCATAATCCGGAATGATCTATAATCCGGACCTCAAAGCTGAAAACTTTCTGCGCATGTGCCGCGTTGACACATGCGCATAGGCGTTTACACGTGCACGTAAGACCTTTACGACTGCGCATATGCGTGTGCGCAAGTGCAGAATACGTTTTCGCGTGCGCGTTTAACGCATAACGGACAGTATGAGCTAAAATTATCTAATTATCTATTTCAGTTAATGTTGATGATTGCGTTGTTCCTTAATCTTTGAACTGGATCCGGCTTATGACTTTTTTCAGACTGTAAAAGCAATTTTATAAAAGTAAACTTGAACTTTCGATTATGTCAAATAGAATTTCCGATGCTGGAGCTCCCAAAGGATCTACAAAACGAAAGTACGTTTCGATGTCCATCAAACAAAAAGTGGTATTGCTGCAAAAAATGGATAAAGACATAACGAAGGTGACAGAGAGGTTAGTGAAAACGAAAAAGTTTCGATTGACAAGTTAGTCTGTATTCTCGGCACAGCCATTACGGGACTTGAACAGCGGAACTTTGTAGTTGAACAAGAAATTATGTCTGTTTATAGAATTAAAGAGAAAGTATTATCACATAAAACGGAGCAACTTAAACAACTTACATTGAAAGAAATGTTTAATAAAGTAAACAAATAATTCTTTTCTAATAAATAATTTCTTTTTCTAAATTTTGATACCCTTTAGATCATAATTGTTCTTTATTTCATAAATTACGGTTTCATATTTTTAATTTTAGAATTTCTGCATGCCATCTTACGAGATTTAAACTGATGATCTATAATCCGGAAAAATCGATAATCCGGTATGGCCGAAGTCCCGACGAGTCCGGATTAACGACTTTTGACCGTAATAATTTTTTTATTTTGACTATGTTAATGCCAGGAGAAAGAGGGTTCTCAGAATTGGAAAAGAAAACTAGAGTAAGAAAAAGAAGCTCAGAACTCCATAATAATAATGGAATGGAATCACATTTAGTAAAAAGAAAATCACAAATGGAAAAACCAGAAGATAAGAAGGATGAAGAAGTAAAACCAGAGTCAAATCAGATTTAGACTGTACTCCTACTGCTGCTAAACTTATGCGATAGCACATCACAACAAATACAAGACTGTGAATATGATGAAGATGGGAACCGAAGTACAACAGAAGCTCGAAATCCATATCCATATTTAATAAAAAGTACAGAAAATGCAACAGAAACACTCATTCAAGATGTTCTGGAGTTAAAAGATGTTGTTTATTTAAAATTCAGTAATAAGCTTCCAAAACCATAGAACCAACTTTGCACAAAAATGATTATTAGTGGATCCCGTATTTTTTAAAACGAATCCAGTAGCAACATCAGCTAATTGTCAATAATTGTCTAATGACAAAATTTTGGTTTTTCTCAGTGGTTTGGTAATGAAGAAGAAGCAACTGAAATTAACCAGTCTTGGTTATTGTATTCACCAAAAAATGATGCAGCGCGCTGCAGTTGTTGCTTACTGTTTATTAGAAAAAATTCTGGTTTACAACCATCTTTTGTAACATCTGGTTTTAATAAAGGGAGGAAGAAAAATAAATAGATTAAATGGATGACACATCATCCATTTCTTCCATCACTGAATTCATATATATAAAATAAACCCTGTTATAGGCTAGAATTGGTACGATAATTACTTATTATTCCAAACTCTCTTCATAGCTGCAAGCAGCAGCAAACGCTTTTCAAATGGAAAAGGGAAATCCCCTGAAAAAACTTTTAACACGTTGAGCCTGGCATCGAATTTACTGTCCTTTCCATTCAGCCGGCACGAGCAATCAAGCGGTGCAATGTTGCAGGGTGATCCGCGAACTTCATGCACTGAATAGAGCTTATCTGTTGGTGAGCTTTGTCAGCTACCGACATACAGGTCCTGCCTGTGCGTGACAAAGCTCGTAGTCGCGAATGTTAATGCTGTCGATCCCACGGCAGCCAAACAGAAATTCCAGTACCTGTGTCCTGAGACCGATGCCGGCCGAACGAAAATTCCAGAACCTGTCCCCAGGGACCGACGCCGGCCACAAGGAAAGTTCACTGCCAATCCCCAGGGACCAACGCCGGCCACGCGAAAAGTTCACTGCCGGGCTTAATATGTTAGTGCTTCTCATTGATTATGACATTCACACGTCTCCAGGCAGTCTACGAAGAAAGGTTTGATGGGAATTCCCTTTTTTAATAATCTTTTGGAGTTTTCCACTGTTTCTAAGTCTAGACTTTCTGTCACCACTATGTTTACAGAAAAAATATGTAACCATAAAACAAATATATTTCATAATAAATATTAACAATAATTATACTTTTGATTTACCAATATGGGCATTTTTCATATTGCAAAGAGGAAATGGTGTCTTTTCTTTTTAAATCCATACACTTTAGGATTAGGGTCCTTAAGACCCTAACATGGTTTATGTAAACTTTTTTGGACAAGTAGGCTTTCATTGCAATCAAAACAAAAAATGCATATATCTCACAGAATAGTAAATTGAGCACATTCATGAAGTCACAATATAATAGCCATGTTATTTTTAATTTATCACAAAATTAAATGGCTTTTGGGTCAAAATGGACCCAACCGTATTTGGGCAGGGTTAAAATATATATCACTAAACTACAAAGATACAGCAACAAAAGTACATCAAATTAAATAACAAAACCCTGTCTCCCTCAGGTACTCAAATAAATTAGAATTGGCCTTTTTCCCGATTAGGCGGTCAAGAGGCACGTCAGAGTCATTAAAATACTTCAATCTAAGTGAGTTAAAATTTGGACATTCAATTAATATAATATGTACTGTAAGAACACTATCACACTGGGAACAAGCAAGTTCGCTCTCGGAATTTAAAAGTTAATTATATTTGTGGACCTGAGCATCCTATAGTAGCTGCCACTTATCTAGGATCTTTTTTCTCGATAACGTTTTTACTATCTAGAAGAGGAACATGTATCTGCACAAATCAACAGCAGATTTGGCTGTGATGTCTGCCAGTTCATTTTGCCTGATATAAACACAACATGGAACCCAGCAGTATAGGATTTGATAGCCACACTTCTGTAAGTTTAAACTTTACTTGAGAATACCCACTATTACAGGATTGTGAGTGCTGGAAAAAGCATCTGAAGTTTTTAATACACTGTACAACTCTGTATAAATTATGAACTTTTTATGGCATAGTTTTGATGTTTACAAAAGGCATGATATATAGCAATTAGTTGAAATGTTAAGATTGAGGAAAC